GAAAAATGACTTATAACCTGTCTGAATATTCTGCCTAGAAATTCTGTTCCTTGACGGTAACCGGTAACCGCTCACCCCCTCTGCAGTTTTTGTTTTTCTCGTAGGACGCTTAGTTTTGGAGAGTAGTTGTAGGGGATGCATCATATTTAATTCCACAATCTGGCTGAAAATATCGATGCCCGATTAATATCGCCAGATTTGTCATGTGATAATTATTTTCCCTTCCCTAAATTGAAATCTTATCATAAAGAACAGTCTTTTATAGCATTTGAAAGAAATGTCACGGGGGGAAAGGACTGACTGTAAGGAAGTATGTCGACAATCGAAACTTTACGAAAGCTTCGGACAGTTCTAAGAACAGATCAAGATGTTCATGCCGTTAGAAAAAAACATGTGCGTAGAACAACTAAATACTGATAAAGTTATTTTATTTCAAATTTAAATGTTCTACCTATTCATTCCTAAAATTTTATGTGGTCTTTTAAAAAAAATTTTTGTATAACAAATAAAAGCTACCGACAAATGAATGAATAACATATTGCATGCGTAACAAGACGCGTAAAAAAATGGACCATTACCTTATATTACATTACGTTTCATTACGATGCTATTTTATCACCCAAAAACAGTAGCAAGTGTTACCACTACACGAAACATAAAATCTTTAAATATCTTTCAGATCATAGCTGCCTAAAAATCTAGACGATTTAAAAGCCACAAACGCAGCTGTTAATAATTTACATTTTCATTTTTTAAATATGTCTAATTGATATAAAATAATATATAATTAATGTATCATGGATCTGCTTGATAATTATAATCACTTACAATATTATTTTGATTCATAAAATATATTTCTAATGCCCTATATCAAATGTTTCTAGTGCCGAATAGATGTTTCTAATGCGATATTTTTCCAACGCCGGATATCTGCCAACTTCTGCGCACTCGAATGCCAATTTAAGATAGCTCAATGGGCCGCGCACCTGAAATAATATTTATTATGCTCAGATTACTTATACAATTCGTCCATAATGTTTCAGGACTAATTGATTTCTTGAACAATTTCCAGCAAACCTACCAAAACCTAACAGAATTATTACTTGATATCTCAACTTGCTTTTTTAAAAATAGTTTACTAAGTTTGCTTTGATACCGTGAACATCTTTTTTTGGATTCGAAAGAAGATCGAATTTCTGCATATCGTTTATCCAAATGGCAGATATTAATTCTAATTTTTTCAAACAAATTGCGATGTTTGAAACTGGTGTTTTGCTCATAATCCAGAGACAAAATGTAGTCATTTATTTGGGATGAAGAAGGTTCATCAAGGCTACAGAAATTTCGTTTCAAGAAATGTTAAAGACCATGCTGGTGACCTCTCTTAACTGGAAAAGAATAATCCATAAGGAATGTGTTCCTAAGGGACACACGGTGAATTCCGTATTTTTTATAAAGACGGAATTTACAAAAAATAATGGAATTGTTTTTCAAAATAAAATATATGAAAAGAATTCAGCGAGTTAGAACCGAAGACCTTCCGCTGCACGACAGTTCACCGTCACACAATTCCATTCTCGTCGAGTATTTTTAGCAAAGAAAATTATTATTATTCTCATCCATTTACATTATTCAGCAGTTTGGCACCTGCAGACTACGTTTTGATCCCTGAAGTACAGTCTCGTCTCAAAAACCATTATTTTAAATGCATTAAAGAAATTCAGAAAATCATAACCTAAACTAAGTCGAAGAAATGAGCTCTAAGCGTTGTGTAGACTTACGAGAACTGTATATGAAGATTGTTGTTTTCTTCAGCTTTGCTTTTTCTAAGAACATAGTCATAAATTTATGGATTAGATGCACTGTACCCCTCTCTGCATATAAAATAGTTCCTAATTCCTCAGAAGCGGCAGAAAGAAAATTAAACCGGTGTCATCCGTAGTCTTTAACTGATCTCCAGTCATGAGCCATTTTAAAATTTTTCAAATTGCGAATATAATGCTTAACAGCAATGCATACTGATATAGTTAACAAAATATTTTGGTATTTTTCAGCAATAACAAAATATCGCTTCTTGGCTAAGACTATAGTAATAACAAAATAATTGATAAAATATCTGCCCTTCGAAAAGTAGTTTCGTTGTCATTTAAATGCAGTCGATGCTCTTGTAGACCGCTCTTATAGAAACCGGTGCAAAGTCATCAGCTTAATGAAAATACATTAAATTCACTTTCGTAACAGCGGCCACTCGTTATATCATCCTTTTCCTTTAGGACGCGAGGGATCATTATAAGAGTCGACCGCATCATTTTTGTCATCATTCCCCTCCTCCGAAATAATTTTTCTCATAAGCGAAGAAACATAGTTATCCAAACAGTTACTAAAAAACTGGTTGTCTTGCACGAAAAATTGTTATATCTTGCAGTATAAAAATATATCGTTTATTATGCAATATCAAGAAGCTGGAGGGCAGGAAAGACAAACCACTGAGGAAAAGGTTTTGTTTAAGCATTTCATATGCAATTTAAATTTATTAATTTCTACAATTTACTCTTTCGTTTTGCACGTCTTATTTAGCAGAATATTTGGGTTTGAAAGAAAAGGTTCCATTATTGAAGAGTGGTAAAGACAGCTGAATAGTACGAGTTCGACAAGGGTTCCATCCCATACGAATAGGCTATCTGCATGGTTGGTTTTTTGAAGTTTTCTCCACTTGCATCTCTAATACCAGCTGGTTTCCTTAGAAAGTCCTCCATGAAGGCCAAGAGTAGATAAAATGGTTTAACAGTATAGTTTGGTCGGGGTTCGAATTCAGGTCAACGGAAAAATGAGCATATCTTTAGAATTTCCGATTCCAATACACAGTTCCGCGCGATGGAGGTAAAAAAAGATAAAAAAAGTGTTTTTTTCTTTCTTTCTTTCCCCTTTTTTTTTTTTTTTTTTTTTTTTTTTTTTTCTCCTCGTAGTGTTGCTATTGCTCGCTTTTAAATCGTTGAGTTTGTTAATCAAAAATTCGTTAAAGTTTTACAAAATATGACAAATAATAAAACATAATAAATATAATAAAATATAATAAAACAAATTCCAAATTTGGGCTTTCTGATGCCCACATTCGCAGTAGGATTACGTCATTCAAAATTGAATGGTTCTAATTACTGTTGTTTTATCACAATGCGAGAAACTTACATACATTTATGCAGATTCTTCATTATTTAATTTCTTCAAATATAATACAGGCCGATAGTATTTGGTGGCAACGATTTGAAAAGTGATACAGAATTTTAAAGTTTTCAACAAAAAATCGCAAAGCGAAAACAATAGTCCTTCAGGAACGAAGCTCCTTTGAACTGAAAAGGAATTTCGCAACTAGGATTATTTATCAAATCATAGAAATGATGATGTATGTAGCAAAATTCATTTGACTTGAGGTTATATTTGATTACTCATTTTTACTGTGGAAATAATGGAAAATAAAAATCTCACATTAAAATTAAAGAAAATGAAAATCTGTGTAGTTTTGCACATTTTAAAAACGTCCGGCCTCCGAATTTAATGTCCCCAAAAATTGACTGTCCAAAGAAATAAAGTGTACTTATGTAGAGTCATTAGGATATTTGAACGCATGAGACATGAAAAAGGAGCAATGCCCTCGCCGAACCTCGAACTTCGGGAATACGCGACGTGTGTGCTGACCATTACACCACGAAGGCATACTAAGAAGGCGGTAGAAATACCTAATAATAACTGTACCTGATTTAAAGGTTTGAAATTTTTGAAAAGGTACGGAAGAGCTTTAATTTTCAACATCTATAGCATATTAGAAAATTGCTCAAGCCTTGCGATGATTTAAGAGCCCACACACTGGCCCGTTCGATCACACTGTTGAATGCTGGTACTTGCTATTCTGTTTTAAACACCGGCGAACGCTGGCTGGTATGTTTTTATGGCGGCTGTTCCTATGAGTACGGTAAAAATAAGCCAGTTTCCTTTTGTAAGTCCTCTTTGAAAAGCATAACTTCTTTCAGGCAGATTGCCAAAGGTATATAAACAAATATATTTTAATACTCTGATTTAAATGGAATAATAATTTAGAAGTGGGAAAAAAGAGCAATCTGGAAATTTAGCTGTATAATCCCTTAAAGAAAAAATAACTGTAACATTTTTTTAAATGTTGTAGAATATTATAATATTGTAGAATTTATAATTATACAAATATTCTGATTCTCTGTAGTGAATTTTAAATAATAATAATAAGTAATATATTATAAAAGAATAATAATGTCTCTAACAGAAAATATTTGAACGTTAATTACTTTCTAAGAGTAAATATTACGTCGGGAAAAAATATTATTCAAATTCGAAATTTTGAATAATAAAAATTATCATGTAATATGTGCCTTTGAATAATAAAAATTATTCAAAAATTCTAAAAGTCAATTTTATATTTTGAAAACGCACATCACACACTAGGAAAATTAGAAAAACTACCCAGTTGCCAGGCTGATAAATGGAAGTTCTTGCTCAGCGTTAGCTGGCAATAATGTCTGTTGGTTTCGGACGAGACTTCACCGAAGCTGACACAGTAAACATTCTACTAGATATTAAAATTTAACCATGAAACTGGGATTTTATTGTAGTGTAACCAACTAGGAAAAATAAACTTTATATGTATAAAACCTGAAATTATAAGCGTACCAAAACATGCTACTCAAAATGAAGATTGTTTTGAATTATTTTCTATGCCTTATATCCCAGTTACGACTCGCTGATTTTTATTAACCTTAAAATGCTTTAAGGGGGAGAAACTTCCGATTTCGAACCCGAGAAAGGTCGTGTCTAGCGTTAACGAGCATTGGCGCCGAGTAGATGACAGCTTTGCTGTTAGTCGCCAAGCTCCGGCAACCCGCCTACCTTGACGCATGCGCAGCATCAACAGCGCTTCGCGAGCAACATTAATTCTTCCGCCGGTTTCAAATATGTTTCAGTTTCATTGTTTGTGTTTTGTGCGCGCACGTGGAAATTTTTTCGCCTGTAGAGGGAGGACCCTCTTGTTTTAGGATTCGAAATATGCGTAGTTATTTCACAGTTAAGAGGAATAACCGTATTATGGAAGCGGTAGAAAGCATATTTTACTTACTACAAATTCTAGGGCTATTTTATATAATCTTAGGTAAGTTACAGTTTTTCTGCTTAGTTATTTAGTTCTAATCTACTGCCTAAGTATGTTGTAGATATTCTTGAATTTTTACAATTTAACAACATTGTATTTCCGTTAATAGTGATGGCAGCGGTTTTAAAAATAAACATTTATTTTTATTAATATCTCGAAAGTTATGTATTTAATCAGCAGTAAAATATTGTTCATTATAAATAAAAGTTTAAAAAAAAGGAGGGTTCCAGTCAACTAGGCATAAGATCTTTCATCTGTCGCACATATTACTCATTTACCTCGATGAGTAAAAGTGTATTTTTCATCACCGTTACAAAATGAATCACTTATTCTTCTTGTATTTCTTTCCCTCTTGTAACAACTGGTATTTAATATTATGATTAAATTGTGATTAAAATAGGTTCTGCCATTCTCTAACAGAGCGACAGCAAAATTTATCTATATAATTTTATATCCCCTCCCAAAAAAAGTTTTTTTTTTTTTTTTTTTTTTTTTTTTTGTTTGTTTGTTTGTTAATTTTTTATGTTAGTTGTTAGATACAACATTGATCTCAGAAAAGAAAAAAAAAAAAAAAATACTTGTATTATTTTTTATACTTTTAATTTTTTTTTATATTTCTGTAATTTTTTAAAGCATTTTACTGATGTTCTCATATATAAAAAGTTAGATTTTAATCTAATTTTTTAGATTATAATTTTCCCCATTTTCCCACTCATTTTCCTTTTATATATCTCGCTCTCGCTTGTATTGGAATTTCATGGGAATTTCAACGGAAATACTTCCTTAAATATATTTTAAAAAAATCAAAAATCGATAATAAATAGACCATTTTTGTTGAAATCACTTAGGTAAACCTACGCTTCATTTAGGGTCACATTTAACTCCTGCTAAATGGGTTTCATACAGAGTTCTACGAATTTCTCTGCGTTGAGCTATATATCTCAGCAAAAGCTCATGAACATTATATGTTTTTAGCATTTTTAAGTTGTAAATCTTGGTTTATTATTTTATTTTTTGTTGCTACAGCTTTATTTTAAGATTTTGCAATGGATTTCTGCTTCCGGGCATTTTTTTATTAGTGTCATTGGTTTAACTTTAGAAACATTAGAAACAGTACGTACCTTTTTCGGATATTCGTTTGTGGCCTTCTTTCTATGTGCAAGAAATAACTGACTGTTTTTCGCTTTCAAATTAATAATGTTATTTATTTTTCACTTAAAAGTTTTAAGTACCATGCATTTCACAACGTTTTTGAATTCTGAAATAAAAATATTTTTCTTAGGAAACAAACATAATTTCCACAAAAACATATCTTTCAAACCACAGTTATGTTGTTTTACCAATTCGTCTTTCAATCCACAGTTTATTTGCATGCGATATTTTGGAGGAAAAATAAATTTAAACTTAGCAGACGATATTTCTCATTTCAAATAATCAGCTGTCGCCAGAAAGTTTTATTCTAAAACTTTCTCTTATTTATTTATTTATTTTTGATTCTTTATTGAAATCCTTCTAAAAATGTGTAAACACCCTCTGTATTTTTTTTTATCTGCATAGTCTTTGTTGTAACAAAATATGAGAAACGAAAGTTTTCTTCATTTACATTGCGCTAATATGTATAAAGTATTATTTAGTCTACAGAGGAGTTAAAACAAAAAAGAAAAAAGGCAGTTATCCAGATTTTAAAATTAATAAAATTTAGTGTTAATTAGTTGAAATATTTAACTTCTTAACGGCAACTCGTTGTTTTGAGATCATCATTTTAATCAAGTTCGATTTTAATCGATCATCGAGTTGTTTTAAGATCATTTTAATTCCAGAGCCGATTGCATAACATATGTCAACATACATTTACCTGCCACAAGAAGTACAAAAGTAAATTTCAAAACTCTGCTGAGCCTGTATTACGTTATACACTTCCAAATACCAATGCAATGCTGCACTAATTCCAGATAACCGATTTTGTAATATTTCGTGCCAGTATATATTTAAAACGAAATATGAGCCTTTTAGTGCGTCCAAGGTCAGCTACCTTTAATTGTGGAATTGAAGACGAAAGATCTGTTGTCTTTTTACTGGAATTCGAATTATGCATAAATATTGCTGTTGCTTTCAGATCAGAGCTTATTTTTACTATTTTTACATGTTAGAAAATATCGATTTTCGTTTAATTTAAAAGCTAATTGCTAGTTTCAGAACTCTAATATTCAGTGGTTTTACCCACTCAGAAATCGAAGGACAAGCGGTATTAAGAGAAACAGGAGATAATAAGAATCAACATTAAATAATATTATGACAAAATTATCAAGTACGTGACAAAAAACATGTATTTTCTCGCATTTTTGGAGCCGGTAATAATAAATTACTCTAAAAATAATTAATTTTGTTAATATTTCTTCCTAAGATCTCTCCCCTTGGCTATCTGTGTCTGACGTACATCACGAGCCGTAATTAGTTATTTAAATTTATGAGAAAAATGTGCCCCCCCCCGCCAACTGTTTTAGACGTATTTGGATGTGCTGACGAGTCAGAAGCTCACGCATTCTAAAGAATCCTCATATCGCATTCTGTAATTGGACGCCTAATTAAAATCAAGATATAATTATCTATTTTAAATATATTTCTACAGCCCATTGCACTCGGAATGAAATTCAAACTATTCTTCTAAAGAATTCTATATTCTATTCAAAACTTCAATGAAATTTTCTTTATTAGTATAATTTAAAAGATTATAATTGATATAAACGTAACGGTTATAATGATTACGTTTTAAGACTAAATAAATTTAATTGCCTTAAATAATTTAATAATAAATCTGCCTATAAAAGTATTAAATATATTATAAGGGAAGGGGGCATACCGTTAGTTTGTTAAAGCATTTTTAGAATTTTGCTGAAACCATTAAATAATAATTCAAAATCAATTAAAAAAATAATATTCGTGACGCTGCATCATGTGATTTACATGTCATGCCAAAATATAAATTATTGTCACTTTACTTGTATCTTTGAAAGTGATCCAATAAAATTTTTTAAAAAAAGAGAAAGCTTTTAGATTTTATAACGTTATTAATGCCAAAGAGGCGTTTTTTTTAACGTTTTGTGTGTTACCCTTATTTATAAAATATCGTGTTCTTCGCACTAAACCACATAAAATTAAATTCAACAGCAATATCACAAAATATATTTAAGAACATCATATCATTAGAATTACTGATGGACAGTCTCGCGCGCTGGAGATAAAAATGCTTTTTTTTCGTACAGTGTTGCAGTGCTGGCTTTGAAATCGTTGTGGTTGTTAATCAAAAATTCTTTAAAGTTTTACAAAATAAAATAGATAATAAAACAATTTCGAAATTTTCAAAATTCTGGCATCCAGGTGCGCGTATTCGGGTGGTTATTCAAAATTTGATGGCTCTAGGCACCCTCGTTTTTTCACAGCGCAAGAAATATGCATACATTCATGAAGATTCTTCATTATTTATTTTTTAAATGTAATACAGGGTGATAATATTTGGTGTCAGCAATTTAAAAAGTAATACACCGTTTAAAATGACGTTTTGAGACTAACAGCTCTTCTGAGCTGGCGTTCCTTTGGGCTAAAAAGACGCGCAGATGCGTCTCGAGTAATTAATTTTTTTCTTTATCAAATAAATGCTGAAGTTTTAACCTAGTGTTACTATGTCATACAGCTGTATCCTAGTAATTTTATTCCTTTCCTTATATGACTATGCTTATTGAAGCAGCTCGTTTCAAAGACATGATTTTACATTCTTCGTTCGGAATATGCAAAGGGTCATTTTTCAACTAGCGACGCTACCGCAACTCTTCACCTTAAACTACTTCAGATGTTGAACTGGAATCTGAATTTGAAGATGAGATTTCAATTTTGTATTTTAATTTGTTTATTTAATTATTACTGATATTGTTAGCTCAAAAAAAGCAGTTTGCTCAGAAGGGCTATTAATTCCGTTTTGGCATTTCGCGTCGTCCACTATAAAACGGCCTTTCAATTTTTAAATTGTTGCCACCAAATATTAGAGCCCTGCATTATATTTAAATAAATTGAATAATGGGGAATCTGCATGAATGTATGCATGTTTCTCGCACTGTGAAAAAAACAACGGTACCTAGATGCATCAAGTTTTGAATAACGTCGTTCTCCACTCGAATATGGGCAGCTGGAAGCCCAAATTTAGAATTTGTTTTATTATCTATTTCATGTTTTGTAAACCTTCAACGAACCTTTAACAAACTCAAACTCAGCGATTTAGAAGCGAGCAATGGCAACATTGTACCGGGAAAAAAAAAAAGTATCTCCAGTGCGCGAGAGTGTGTATCGGAAATTTTAAAGATACGCTCTTTTCAAATATTTTGTGAATTGCTGTTTAATTCAATTTTATAGTTTAAATGCGAAGAACATGATATTTAATAAGCAAAGATAACACACAAAATGTTAAAAAAACACACCTTTGAGCATAATATAGAATCTGAAAACTTTAATATTTATTTATTTATTTATTTAATTTGAGTTTTAAAAGAAATTCAACGGTTAATTGTTTTTCGAGTTATGACAGTAATGGGAATTTTTGAAGAAATACTTATTTTTAAATGCTATTTTAATTATTACTGTTAAAGTTTCTCTGAAATATTTTACCATAAGCGTAACCTTTACGAATGCAAAATCTACCCCTGGTAATTTTTTATGTATGTAATTACAATACCTCAAATTCTCAAGCCATGGATAAAGTGAATGTAAACTTCTGTCTATAAGCACTCTACGCTCCTGTTTCGCTGTAAAATAAGAGGTAAAATGTTTACAGAAATGCATGAACGAGTTTTGAGATGCTCTCAACGACTCATTTATTCAAGAATTTCAGAGTTTATAGAAAAACGTTCAGGAGTTCTCAGAATCTTTTCCTTAATTGTGTTTGCTTTTAGAGGGCATCGACAATAAAGATAATTTCTTTAGTCAAGCATTCAGTCGTCAGCATGTTGATT